CAGTAAAACTGCCGTCGTAGGTTTTCCAAAGTTTTTCCCATTCCGCCATGAGCTGGTTGGTTCCGAATGTGCACGCTTAATTATGCTGTGGCTCAGACTCTGGGGAATCCACAATTTCCATTCGTAGCCTTCCTTTTCGTCATCCAGATTTGCTAGAGAGACTCTCTTGAAGATGAGACCGTCCACTATCCTCAAATCAGGTAAGTTGGTAAGATTTTTTCCACTTCTTGTAACAACTCTTCCCCAGCAAACTCGGTGGTCTGGAAGCCGAGCAACTCTGACGGGTCCACCGTTAGCTCTTCAACACAACGCGATAGGGTACCTGCCACAACGTTCTCACTTCCTTTTCTGTGCTCGATGTTGAAGTGGAATCCCTGGAGCTGCAATGACCACCGAGCCAGCCGACCCGAAAGGACTTTCATGGACATAAGCCACTTTAAGCTGGCATGATTCGTGGTGCACGTAAACGGCATTCCTTCAACATACGGCCGGAACTTTCGAATGGCCAGCAAGGCGCGAGACATTCTTTTTTGGTGGCGGTGTAATGAACTTGGTGGCGATTCATCTAGGCCGAGAAGAACGCTATTGGTTGCTCCTAGCCGTCTTCATCTCGCTGGAACAACACTGCACCGACTCCGATCTGGGATGCATCGCACTGGATGAAAAAGTGCCGCTCGAAGTCAGCAAATAGCTGTGCTTTTAGACTCTAGGAAAACATCTTATTTCCAGTCTGCTTCAAGGATTTCATGAGCGGAGCTGCCAATGTCGCGAAGCTCTTAATAAACCGACTGTACCAACTAGAGATAGGTCAAAGACTTGAAGCAAAACTTCGACTTACTCAACCCTATGGTTAACCCTGCTTCTTTCAGGCATTCAGCGTCTCGGAAAAGATACTTCATGTGCGTTCTCATGTCTGGCGCTAATATTAGCAGGTCATCCAAATAGACAAACACATTAGAGCGGATCTCAGCTGGAATTACCCGGTCCATGAGTCTCACCAGTCTCTGTGATGCGTTACAGAGTCCCAAAGACATCACACGGAACTGGTAAAGCAACCGACCAGGAACCGTAAATACTGTGCATTCTTTGCTGTTCGTGTCCAACTCAATCTGCCAGAAAGCGAACTTCAAATCCACGCTGGAAACGTTATACGTTTGGTCGTTGCTGGGCTACGGGTAAGCATCTTGACTCTACGGTGGTGTGACTGCTCCAGGGGCTTTGAATTTCCTCGACGACTCCGAGCGCTAGCAACTTGTCAGCTCGTCCTCGACCACCTTCTTCATCGCGGGAGATATCGGATCGGGTTGATCTTTGAACACTTTGGCTCCGTCAATCAGCTCAATCGTGTGCTGCTTCCGACTGGTGGTACCCATGCCACCCCTCTCGAAAGTCAAGAACTCCCTCGTCGTCATCCTCGACCTCAGCGTAGTGCTCCATCTCCCTAGCGTGTATTTCTTCGGTCTTCCTCACGCTTTCGGGATCGATGTGGCCTTGTATTGCTGTAGCCAGTCCGAACGCTTGCCAATAATCCACTCCAAAATAAGCTGGCTGCTCCAGGTAAGGACATAAATAAATGAGCTTAACCCGTCCTATAATCGACCGATCCCCTCCAGATGCCGTTCGGACTGCGGATAGGTACTTCTGGACGGGCTCATACAATGCCTCACCAGCTCTCTGACACCTTTACCAAGCAGACTAAAACTCGCCCCAGTGTCCAACAACCCCTTCAGTTGCTTGGTCAGGACTCGAAATGCGGCGAATGGTCTGGAATTTCGCGATAAACTTCGCTTCACGGCGGCCACTGCTTCGCGTCGGCAGGCCCGTCGTTTGCGAAATCGATCCCTGGCCTTCTCAACTTTGCGAGACACCATACGCATGAAGCCCAGCTGAGGTTCTGAGAAGATCCTGTTCCTGATCTATAGGTACCGCCGCATCATCTCCGCATAGGGTAAGAATAGTAATTTGGACTTATTACTCTTAGAAAGTAAACATTTATTTAAATCTAGCAACTCTTCTTCTATGCGGGACTCCTGTCTGGACGCATTCTCTCCGCCCTCGCATCGCCCAGCCGACCGTTTTCCGCACAATCCGGACATGTGGTAGACACGGTCTCTGGCTCCGCAATTCTAGCAGCCCGCTCAGAATGGATTCCTTCGTCCATCTCGTACCTCGGAGAATCCTCACCAGGATCTGGGCCAATAGCCTCGCTAACCTTGGTCTTATCTGCTGGAGGATACCGCATCGGCTGCGTGTACGCGGTCCGCCCACGTCGTCCAAAACTGCGTTCCACATCGCAGCACTCTTCCCGCAGTTCATCCATAGTGAGCACATCCATCGCGTAATAAGTCTTGCGATGCTCTCCCCCAAGCTCTTTTTATTATTTTAACCAGCTGTCGCTCTGACAGTGGCCATTTCAGGCGGGACGCTAACTACTGCATCGCGTGGACGTAATCCTCAACTCCTTCTCCGGGCTGCTGCTCCTCTGCAGAAGTTGGTTCATCCGATAGTGCTCCGTCTGGGGGCATCGGAACCTATCCATCAGCGACGCTCAAAGCTGGGACCACCTGTCCACCCTGCAGTGAAAATTCCCACCGAGTTCCGTTCATAATCACCGTCGAAGGATACGCCCCACCGCTCAATTCGCCATTGCTGTTTGGCGGCTACCGGTCCAACATTGGCATACAGGCAAGGCTCCTCGCTGAAGTCTGAGGCCTTGTGGTTCTCAACGCACCAGCTTCGGGCCGGGCCATCGTTTCAGCGCGACCTTCCATAGTCCGGAGGATACCCTGGACTGCTACTCTCCAACTCCTGGAAATCTAACGGCCTCCTCGGTGGTTTGGGTGGCACCCTCGGCAGAGGTGGCTTGGAACCGTCCATGCCGGCGACCTGTGTGCACTTTGGCACCGCACCTTCAGGGGCTTGGCCAGGGGCTCCTGCGGTGATCATTGAATCCGGACGCGTTCGCTCATCCGGCATGCTCTCCGGGGGAAGCTGAGGCCGCTGAGCCGCAGGCCTTAACACCACGTTCATCAGCTTCATCATTTCCAGGAAGCCCCCTCGAATCTCGTCCCTCAACGCCTGATTGCCGTGGAACCAATCCCTCAATGATCTAATGCTGCCTTAAGTTCAGTTGAAGCTCGGGGTCCGGTGGCACTTGTTGCTCTCGGTGCAATCCCTCGCGTAAACAGCCTAGCGAAGTCCTGGGCAACCCTACCGATATGCGCGGCAAGCCCGACTCGGTGGCACCCTCCACATGCGTGGACCACATCTTCTCCTCGTCCTCGCCTGGAAAATCCTTTGACCGAACCAGGTGATCATGTGTGCTGCCTTGTCGCTTTTCCATCCTGATTATTTGTAACCCTAACAGGACTTCTAAGACCCAAATTTCCCCGAATTCAAAGTGACAACTAAAAACCCCAAATCCTATATAAATAAATAAATTATGCTCAATGCCAGTAAAAAACAATAAATAATATATAAATACCAACAAATAATATACACATAAATATTAATTACATGAAAACGAAATCAAAACTTATATTACAAGGCAAATAAATCAATAAATAATAATTATAAATAAATAGTAACAATTAAATCAATAATGAACTATGTACAAATCAAAAATATTGCCGGGAAATAAAGTAATAACAAATAAATACCTAAAGCTAAACAGATTCACACAAATAATTAAGTCCTAACAAAAACAAGTCCTTCAAGTCTAAATTTTCCGTCCGAATTCTCACTAAACAAGCCGCTCGTCAACTGGACTAACTTTTAGCCATGCTGAAAGTCGCCAGTTAGGGACTTTGGCTGTTTGCAGGATCGCATAAGATTTCCTTTTGAATTTGGGCTTTTTATTCAAGTCGCGGTAAACTACTCTTCTCGTTAGAAACACTTAAGGCCGATCATAGACCGTCCCCCAGATTAGAAGAGGTCAAAGCGGCAATAACTCAAGGCAAATTTTTAGACATTAAAATTATAAGTGTTCGGCAAAATCGCCACTGAAATAAAATATACGGCACCTATTTGGAAGCGTTTGATAACCGCGATACCTAATCCTGACGAGCTCCAAGGGAAAAGAAAGGACGTGCTGAAACGGGGTAAGTATGGTAAAGAAATCCCATACGTCGTTAAATTTCGCGACCCAATTTATACATAGTTGGACGGGGGGCTAGGGTGCGGAAATAAGCCTCTAATTCCAGATTAGAATTCACAGTGAGTATTTGGCCATATTTTTGACTGTATGATTTTATAAATTGAGTAAAAATTTTTTATCGCAGAGTTGAACGTTGGTTATGGTCGAAACTGCAGCAAGAAGAAAGAGACCGCTAACGGCGAAAACCAGCGCGAGTCCGAAAGGAACCAAATGGTCCGGAGGCTAGCCCAGCGTCTGCGCCAGAGGGGCCGGAGGCAGTGCTGCTGTTTGCTGATCGCTGATGCTGCTGCTGATCTCCAGGTTATGTATTTTCCTTTCACGAGTCTTCTGAATTTCCGGGGCCCTTTAGATAGGGTCCCCGGCGGCTTTAATATTTTTAAAAATCACTGTTATTTATAAGTCTTAAACTTATCATTTATCACGTTAACTTATCTAAGCACCAATTATGAATTTATAAACTCCTATTTTTTTCCGGCCGTTCGTCTACGACTTTTTGCAGCAACTGACGTTAAACTCTGACCTACACCAAAGTCGTTCGCCATTTTCACTCCCGCTCTCCCAAAATGGGTTAGTGAACGCAATCAAGGCCATTTAACCCAGTTAACGAGCGAACCGGACTAAATTTAAATATCTAGATCCTCTCCCACTATTAACAGTCGGTGTCACCACAGAATCTTATCGATAGTGCAACCTGCTGACCTATCAGTTTGTTTTGGTATTTTCCAGACGACTTCAACGGAAAATGCAACACCACCCTAGAGACGCTAACATAGAGTTTTAGACGAGCACAGGAATACTTGGGGGCGTTTGGATTTGGACGCATTCGCCCCAACGCGAGGCCTACGCTTTACGGGAAGTAGATACATTCCGATTCTGAGCTCGTGTACTTTGTTGTTCATCTTTCCAGATCACAACCTAATATTCTTGGCATGGTACACTCCGATCGGTCGTCCTTGAAGATCCTCGAGCTCATACGCATTGTTGCCGACTGTCTTGACCACCCGAGCTTTCAGGAACTTCCGAGCAAACTTGGCATTTAAGGATTTTTTAAAATCGCTAATGCCAAAGTTGCGGCGATACACTTCCAGAAATGGCTTTGCAAGGACAGTACGAGCCTTTTTGTCGTACCGCAGGCGACTCCGATCGTATGAATTTTCGAGGCTCTTCTGCACCTTGTCATGGATCACTTGGAGTTTATCAGCCCCGGACGAGACCCGCCATTTCGTTTTCACACAATGACTTCAACTTTCTTGCCAACTTGTAGCTGGCCATTTCAGGAACATGTGTCGTCCAAATACTGTGAAGAACGGAGCTTCTGGCATCCGTTGTCCGAATGCACTATTTCTGGAACGCCAAACTTGAAGAAAACCTCATGAATGAGGAACTCCACTACATTTGAGGCCGATGCCTCTTGCATGGCTTTCAGAAAAGTGTATTTGAAGAAGTGATCCACCAGAATGAAGATATTGGCCTGTCTCTGCTTCGACCACGGATATTTGCCCAGGAAATCGATATACAGCTTCTGAAATGGCTGCTCAGTCTGGACTCTCTCACCGATACCAACTTGCATCCGGAAATTCGGCGATTTCGTCTCCTTACAGACTTCACACCTGCGTATGGACTCCCAGACTTGCAGTGCCATGCCAGGCCAGTAAAACTGCCGTCGTAGGTTTTCCAAAGTTTTTCCCATTCCGCCATGAGCTGGTTGGTTCCGAATGTGCACGCTTAATTATGCTGTGGCTCAGACTCTGGGGAATCCACAATTTCCATTCGTAGCCTTCCTTTTCGTCATCCAGATTTGCTAGAGAGACTCTCTTGAAGATGAGACCGTCCACTATCCTCAAATCAGGTAAGTTGGTAAGATTTTTTCCACTTCTTGTAACAACTCTTCCCCAGCAAACTCGGTGGTCTGGAAGCCGAGCAACTCTGACGGGTCCACCGTTAGCTCTTCAACACAACGCGATAGGGTACCTGCCACAACGTTCTCACTTCCTTTTCTGTGCTCGATGTTGAAGTGGAATCCCTGGAGCTGCAATGACCACCGAGCCAGCCGACCCGAAAGGACTTTCATGGACATAAGCCACTTTAAGCTGGCATGATTCGTGATGCACGTAAACGGCATTCCTTCAACATACGGCCGGAACTTTCGAATGGCCAGCAAGGCGCGAGACATTCTATTTTGGTGGCGGTGTAATGAACTTGGTGGCGATTCATCTAGGCCGAGAAGAACGCTATTGGTTGCTCCTAGCCGTCTTCATCTCGCTGGAACAACACTGCACCGACTCCGATCTGGGATGCATCGCACTGGATGAAAAAGTGCCGCTCGAAGTCAGCAAATAGCTGTGCTTTTAGACTCTAGGAAAACATCTTATTTCCAGTCTGCTTCAAGGATTTCATGAGCGGAGCTGCCAATGTCGCGAAGCTCTTAATAAACCGACTGTACCAACTAGAGATAGGTCAAAGACTTGAAGCAAAACTTCGACTTACTCAACCCTATGGTTAACCCTGCTTCTTTCAGGCATTCAGCGTCTCGGAAAAGATACTTCATGTGCGTTCTCATGTCTGGCGCTAATATTAGCAGGTCATCCAAATAGACAAACACATTAGAGCGGATCTCAGCTGGAATTACCCGGTCCATGAGTCTCACCAGTCTCTGTGATGCGTTACAGAGTCCCAAAGACATCACACGGAACTGGTAAAGCAACCGACCAGGAACCGTAAATACTGTGCATTCTTTGCTGTTCGTGTCCAACTCAATCTGCCAGAAAGCGAACTTCAAATCCACGCTGGAAACGTTATACGTTTGGTCGTTGCTGGGCTACGGGTAAGCATCTTGACTCTACGGTGGTGTGACTGCTCCAGGGGCTTTGAATTTCCTCGACGACTCCGAGCGCTAGCAACTTGTCAGCTCGTCCTCGACCACCTTCTTCATCGCGGGAGATATCGGATCGGGTTGATCTTTGAACACTTTGGCTCCGTCAATCAGCTCAATCGTGTGCTGCTTCCGACTGGTGGTACCCATGCCACCCCTCTCGAAAGTCAAGAACTCCCTCGTCGTCATCCTCGACCTCAGCGTAGTGCTCCATCTCCCTAGCGTGTATTTCTTCGGTCTTCCTCACGCTTTCGGGATCGATGTGGCCTTGTATTGCTGTAGCCAGTCCGAACGCTTGCCAATAATCCACTCCAAAATAAGCTGGCTGCTCCAGGTAAGGACATAAATAAATGAGCTTAACCCGTCCTATAATCGACCGATCCCCTCCAGATGCCGTTCGGACTGCGGATAGGTACTTCTGGACGGGCTCATACAATGCCTCACCAGCTCTCTGACACCTTTACCAAGCAGACTAAAACTCGCCCCAGTGTCCAACAACCCCTTCAGTTGCTTGATCAGGACTCGAAATGCGGCGAATGGTCTGGAATTTCGCGATAAACTTCGCTTCACGGCGGCCACTGCTTCGCGTCGGCAGGCCCGTCGTTTGCGAAATCGATCCCTGGCCTTCTCAACTTTGCGAGACACCATACGCATGAAGCCCAGCTGAGGTTCTGAGAAGATCCTGTTCCTGATCTATAGGTACCGCCGCATCATCTCCGCATAGGGTAAGAATAGTAATTTGGACTTATTACTCTTAGAAAGTAAACATTTATTTAAATCTAGCAACTCTTCTTCTATGCGGGACTCCTGTCTGGACGCATTCTCTCCGCCCTCGCATCGCCCAGCCGACCGTTTTCCGCACAATCCGGACATGTGGTAGACACGGTCTCTGGCTCCGCAATTCTAGCAGCCCGCTCAGAATGGATTCCTTCGTCCATCTCGTACCTCGGAGAATCCTCACCAGGATCTGGGCCAATAGCCTCGCTAACCTTGGTCTTATCTGCTGGAGGATACCGCATCGGCTGCGTGTACGCGGTCCGCCCACGTCGTCCAAAACTGCGTTCCACATCGCAGCACTCTTCCCGCAGTTCATCCATAGTGAGCACATCCATCGCGTAATAAGTCTTGCGATGCTCTCCCCCAAGCTCTTTTTATTATTTTAACCAGCTGTCGCTCTGACAGTGGCCATTTCAGGCGGGACGCTAACTACTGCATCGCGTGGACGTAATCCTCAACTCCTTCTCCGGGCTGCTGCTCCCTCTGCAGAAGTTGGTTCATCCGATAGTGCTCCGTCTGAGGGCATCGGAACCTATCCATCAGCGACGCTCAAAGCTGGGACCACCTGTCCACCCTGCAGTGAAAATTCCCACCGAGTTCCGTTCATAATCACCGTCGAAGGATACGCCCCACCGCTCAATTCGCCATTGCTGTTTGGCGGCTACCGGTCCAACATTGGCATACAGGCAAGGCTCCTCGCTGAAGTCTGAGGCCTTGTGGTTCTCAACGCACCAGCTTCGGGCCGGGCCATCGTTTCAGCGCGACCTTCCATAGTACGGAGGATACCCTGGATACTACTCTCCAACTCCTGGAAATCTAACGGCCTCCTCGGTGGAGTACGTGGAACCGTCCATGCCGGCGACCTGTGTGCACTTTGGCACCGCACCTTCAGGGGCTTGGCCAGGGGCTCCTGCGGTGATCATTGAATCCGGACGCGTTCGCTCATCCGGCATGCTCTCCGGGGGAAGCTGAGGCGGCTGAGCCGCAGGCCTTAACACCACGTTCATCAGCTTCATCATTTCCAGGAAGCCCCCTCGAATCTCGTCCCTCAACGCCTGATTGCCGTGGAACCAATTCCCTCAATGATCTAATGCTGCCTTAAGTTCAGTTGAAGCTCGGGGTCCGGTGGCACTTGTTGCTCTCGGTGCAATCCCTCGCGTAAACGGCCTAGCGAAGTCCTGGGCAACCCTACCGATATGCGCGGCAAGCCCGACTCGGTGGCACCCTCCACATGCGTGGACCACATCTTCTCCTCGTCCTCGCCTGGAAAATCCTTTGACCGAACCAGGTGATCATGTGTGCTGCCTTGTCGCTTTTCCATCCTGATTATTTGTAACCCTAACAGGACTTCTAAGACCCAAATTTCCCCGAATTCAAAGTGACAACTAAAAACCCCAAATCCTATATAAATAAATAAATTATGCTCAATGCCAGTAAAAAACAATAAATAATATATAAATACCAACAAATAATAATCACATAAATATTAATTAAATGAAAACGAAATCAAAACTTATATTACAAGGCAAATAAATCAATAAATAATAATTATAAATAAATAGTAACAATTAAATCAATAATGAACTATGTACAAATCAAAAATATTGCCGGGAAATAAAGTAATAACAAATAAATACCTAAAGCTAAACAGATTCACACAAATAATTAAGTCCTAACAAAAACAAGTCCTTCAAGTCTAAATTTTCCGTCCGAATTCTCACTAAACAAGCCGCTCGTCAACTGGACTAACTTTTAGCCATGCTGAAAGTCGCCAGTTAGGGACTTTGGCTGTTTGCAGGATCGCATAAGATTTCCTTTTGAATTTGGGCTTTTTATTCAAGTCGCGGTAAACTACTCTTCTCGTTAGAAACACTTAAGGCCGATCATAGACCGTCCCCCAGATTAGAAGAGGTCAAAGCGGCAATAACTCAAGGCAAATTTTTAGACATTAAAATTATAAGTGTTCGGCAAAATCGCCACTGAAATAAAATATACGGCACCTATTTGGAAGCGTTTGATAACCGCGATACCTAATCCTGACGAGCTCCAAGGGAAAAGAAAGGACGTGCTGAAACGGGGTAAGTATGGTAAAGAAATCCCATACGTCGTTAAATTTCGCGACCCAATTTATACATAGTTGGACGGGGGCTAGGGTGCGGAAATAAGCCTCTAATTCCAGATTAGAATTCACAGTGAGTATTTGGCCATATTTTTGACTGTATGATTTTATAAATTGAGTAAAAATTTTTTATCGCAGAGTTGAACGTTGGTTATGGTCGAAACTGCAGCAAGAAGAAAGAGACCGCTAACGGCGAAAACCAGCGCGAGTCCGAAAGGAACCAAATGGTCCGGAGGCTAGCCCAGCGTCTGCGCCAGAGGGGCCGGAGGCAGTGCTGCTGTTTGCTGATCGCTGATGCTGCTGCTGATCTCCAGGTTATGTATTTTCCTTTCACGAGTCTTCTGAATTTCCGGGGCCCTTTAGATAGGGTCCCCGGCGGCTTTAATATTTTTAAAAATCACTGTTATTTATAAGTCTTAAACTTATCATTTATCACGTTAACTTATCTAAGCACCAATTATGAATTTATAAACTCCTATTTTTTTCCGGCCGTTCGTCTACGACTTTTTGCAGCAACTGACGTTAAACTCTGACCTACACCAAAGTCGTTCGCCATTTTCACTCCCGCTCTCCCAAAATGGGTTAGTGAACGCAATCAAGGCCATTTAACCCAGTTAACGAGCGAACCGGACTAAATTTAAATATCTAGATCCTCTCCCACTATTAACAGTCGGTGTCACCACAGAATCTTATCGATAGTGCAACCTGCTGACGTATCAGTTTGTTTTGGTATTTTCCAGACGACTTCAACGGAAAATGCAACACCACCCTGGAGACGCTAACATATAGTTTTAGACGAGCACAGGAATACTTGGGGGCATTTGGATTTGGAACATTCGCAGTCAGCCGGCCTCGATACCAAGATTCCGTTCCAACGGTGTCCAGCGCGGGGCCTACGCTTTACGGGAAGT